GGGCTCCAGTAACCACTTAACACAAGGTGGCCTGTGACCGCGTCCAATAAAAAAAAAGTATCCGGCGACAAATATTGCATATCGACCATTGGAAAAAGGCCATCGACTAATTTCGGCTTCGCGAAACCGTCATCTCTGTCTCAAATAGTGAACCGGCACAGATTGGTACCACAATCCTGTCTTCTGTCTTAACATCTACTAAAAAAATTACAATTTTATATTAGCAATATTTAGGATAGGATACATATCAGTATAAATTAGTGATTTGTTTTTCGAGAATCTATTCAATACTTCTATGTGCTTAGTGCAACTTTTTAAAATTCTCGATCGTGTAACAGTTAACTCAACGTATCGAGTTGGAACAGTGCCCCTAGCGGCAAACGTAGGGCAAACTTTTACGCGATTGAGAACTTAAAAAATTCACACTAAGCACGCTGCTACTCTATAAAAAAATTAAGCAATTTTACTTATTTCTAATATTAATACAGATAATCAAATAAACTTCGAGCAATTAAGTTTCTTTGCCATTATTTGTTGTCTTGTTCTAAAATTCGTCTGATCTTATATAATAGAACGATTCATTTTCGTTTTTTTTCGCAGCAAACTCTTTCTTTTAAGCAATTAATACTAATTAATGAGTTAAAAACTAGCACCGCTGAGTAGTCGGTAGCCAGTTCGCTGCAGGAATGGATATTTTATGTCTTAATTGTTTTTTTTATTTCACAACGGTTTCTTGTACAATGCATACAAAATACATTTTAATTTGCAATATGTTCGTTACTTACTACCTACAAAGACGTTAAATAATTACGTTTTATTTTTATTTTTTTATTTCTTAGATGTGTGGACGATCTCACAGCCCACCTGGTGTTAAGTGGTTACTGGAGCCCATAGACATCTACAACGTAAATGTGCCACACACCTTGAGATATAGTTCTAAGGTCTCAGTATAGTCACAACGGCTGCCCCACCCTTCAAACCGAAACGCATTACTGCTTCACGGCAGAAATAGGCGGGGCGGTGGTACCTACCCGTGCGGACTCACAAGAGGTCCTACCACCAGTAATTACGCAAATTATAATTTTGCGGGTTTGATTTTTATTGCACGATGTTATTCCTTCACCGTGGAAGTCAATCGTGAACATTTGTTGAGTACGTATTTCATTAGAAAAATTGGTACCCGCCAGCGAGATTCGAACACCGGTGCATCGCTCGATACGAATGCACCGGACGTCTTATCCTTTAGGCCACGACGACTTTTTTTTACTTAGATCGTCGGACAGATTGACTATCCACCTGGTGTTAATTGTTTGCCGGAACCTATAGACTTCATAACGCAAATGATACCTACTGCCTTGAGACGTGAGGTCGAATTTTGCAGTAGCGTTTATCAGCGTCAACAAAATACAACCCGCTTGTATGTGTTTATTTTCGCGTTTGAATTTATTTTCAAACTATAAGCAACATTCAATTTACGTTAGTTTTTTTTTTGCAATTTCCTATTTGATTATATTATTATTGTCACAAGACCGCTTCAGATATTAAGAACGCGACTCGATACGATCACATAGCCTTGTGTCCGGCTCGACCTTACACCTAGTGAAATTCAACTGGCAACACGTACACTGAACTATACCACTATATACTAACGATAACTATATACACTATATGCACAACAGATATAGATTGTTACTAACAGAAAGGCATGAACGTTACCGCCATTCATTTTGAGACTGGTGGTAGGACCTCTTGTGAGTCCGCGCAGGTGGGTACCACCACCCTGCCTATTTCTGCCGTGAAGCAGTAATGCGTTTTGGTTTGAAGGGTGGGGCAGCCGTTGTAGCTAAACTTGAGACCTTAGAACTTATATCTCAAGGTGGGTGGCGCATTTATGTTGTGGATGTCTATGGGCTCCAGTAACCACTTAACACCAGTTGGGCTGTGAGCTCGTCCACCCATCTAAGCAATAAAATAAATAAAAAACATGAGGTCTATGGTTATTCACATAGTTGCAGTCGTTCAATGATGAATGCGTGCCTGAAGTAAGCTTCACCGTGAAACACTCCTGTTCAGACTCGCCATACCGAAAGACACTTTAGTGATATATCTAAATTACGTATAGTTATAAAAGTGATCTAATAAGAATAAAAATAAAATAAAAGCATTTAAAATTATTGTATGGAAGTGGAAACCACAAGAAAACTGCGAACAAATTACAAACTTTCCGGTGTGAAAGTGATTATTGCAATAATTAGATCTGTTGTTTTCAACATGGTTGCGTTTTCTACCATATATATATTAAATAATACGTGAAATAGAAACTTTGTACCCTTTTTTACGAAAATTGCGCGGACGGAGGAGTATGAAATTTCCCACACTTGTAGAGAATATAGAGGAGAAGTGCACTATGCTAATATATTTTTTAAATAATGCATAAAAGATATATTAAATCAATAAAGAAAACATTACACATACTACCATGTATTTGACACACATACGTTGCATACTATTTATTTATTGTCAAACTTTTATTCTTGACGTCTTTGGTCAAATTGAGAATAGATTAAATATTGTTTGTCTTTATTAATATTTTTCTATAGTGTAGTCTTGGCGTTTGAAAATACAATCGTAATAGTGTACAAACTAACAATTCCAATTAATTATAGTCGAATTTCGACTACTGCAGGACCACTAGTTCATGTAATAACGCGTGTGTTCTAACATATCTTATTTGCAATACAGGGTTGCGGTGTTGATCAAATATCGCAACGCTCATAATAGATGCTAAGTAGGTCACATTGGTCAGTAGCACGTGTAAAGTAACAATGTACACTAATTATTAACGATATCTGATTAACAATTAAGCAAAATAATAATACGGGTTTCTTCATATTCACACAAGTGAAAAACCAAACGTCATCTTTAAATGAAATATATTGGCTTAAACTGTGTACATATTGTTAGGTAATAATGTGTTAACTTAATGAAACAGAAAGTGGACCCGAGTCGGTGACATTTCTCCTTTAAAGTGTACAAGTACTTTTTATGTTTATTTTCGATTAACAAGTAAACAATTTCAGTCTGTTTACAATCCATTTAAACATAGTTATAGGAATGTAAATTCGAAATACGTTTTTACGTATATATTTCACTCTCTGCGTGTAGGTACACTGTTATGCAATAAAGCATTTTGAATAACCGACAATAGAACGCAGTTTGTTTGAAAGTGAAACTAAATAATTTATGGACGATAATAAATGAATAGCATTATGTACAAAAACCTTGATACTGTGTGTTTTCATTAAAATACAAGTCTGACCACCTTTTCTCGTGTATTTGCCGAACACAAGGACTCCTGGCTTGATTCTGAATATTGTAAAACGTGCAAATTTGAAATGACTTTTAAAAGGAATTAGAATAATTTAGTGTTGTATCCAAATCAAAAATAACCGTATAAGGCAATAACTTATTGCTTTTTATACATATGCATTATAATATATTAATAGCTGTGGTATTTACGTTTTTCATATTAATCTTATACCTTTAAACGAGCAATTCTTCTATATATATAATCTGAATCTCAGAAACGGCTCCAACGATTTTCATAAAATTTAGTATACAGGGGATTTCGGGGGCGATAAATCGATCTAGCTACGATTTATTTTCAGAAAATGTTGTTTTATTCGTGTTTTCAATAATCAACTCTTCCCGACATCTTTTGGCGAATAATAATTCTATTTTCTTAATTGAGGGCAACTAACCGCTTTAAAGACACAATAAGATGGCGTTATCAAAAAAAAAAACCAAGCAAGGCTCGGTCATCATCTAGTGTTCTTTTATTAGAACTATGAACTACTACTATAAGGGAGAAGTGTAATAAAACTAGAGGAATGTTTTCATGCAAATTTAACCTAACCATTTAAGAATTTACAAATTATCATATTTATATATGTATTCTATTTTTTTAATTCGAATTCTTGAACATACTTTTTCCGAGAGTTCGTTATAGTAAGCTCTCGAACGATTTCCGTGTCGGACAAGAAATACTGCGGAAGCGAACAACACCTTCCGACATCGATAATTGGATCCGCTACTCGATAAACTTCCCAAGTTATGAATCACTGCACATATTTATGTTTTTTTTTTATTGCTTAGATGGGTGGACGAGCTCACAGCTCACCTGGTGTTAAGTGGTTACTGGAGCCCATAGATATCCACAACGTAAATGCGCCACCCATCTTGACATATAAGTTCTAAGGTCTCAAGTATAGTTACAACGGCTGCCCCACTTTTCAAACCGAAACGCATTAGTGCTTCACGGCAAAAATAGGAATATTAGTTTTTGCGTGCACAATAAACTTCTTTCATTTCATCTTTCATTTTCGTTCAACATTATTAAGCGTGTCGTAACATTCATAATTCTCGTGAGAACAGTTCTGAAGACAAAAGTGATCATCTTACTCCGCGTACGTTGCCTCATCGATCCGAGACAACAAACTTGCTCGGTCTCAAACAAACATACGCGTAATTTACACCCACGTTCCGATTATCGCAGTCATTTTCTCACATCACGTTACAAAGTATTGCACTGCTCTAATAACAGTAACGTTTGATCTGTAGTTAGTTAGTTAATTCTGATTTTCACACAATCTAATTGAGCTGCCACTACAGAAAATTCGTTGGTAAGCAAATCGATCAGTATTTCGACACAAAAGTTGCAAAAATTCGGGCCTACGCGTGTGCATGTTGAAGTTTCATTGAAATACGAAATATGTACGTAACCAAACCAGTATGTAGGTAGACGCAAAACAATGGTTAGGAATTCGGTGATGAAACAAGCAGATGAATCACAGCTCCTTGGTTCGGGACGAGTCTGTCGCTGTTTGTAGGCGCAACCAGATTTATTGCTGACTCACGCCGTCGACTCCAAATGCAGCAACCAAACTTTCGAAACACCTTATCGAGCAAATAATCTGAAACGACAATTCCCTTTGTTACAGATGTTTACTGGTGTGCACGTCCCAATGGGCGTCCGCTGATGTGGAACTGATCACAAAACCACGACCGGGCGAAGAATATGTTATTGTCAGTTCGGGTCAACAGCCCGCTCCAGTCAAGGCATCCGCTAAACATGAAAACAAAATACCTTATAAGCACAGACAAAAACCGTTGCTCACTACCGTAGCACCCGCAACGGACAGCAAAAACTTTGATTACATTCCTATTAATTTCGATTCTATCGACGATATAAACAGTGGTCTGTTAACATCAAACGTTAACTTTGAGCCAGCCGGCACAGAACAAAAACAGCATTCCAGAATCCAAATTAAGAAGGGGCCTAACGGGCAAGACTATGAATACGAATACGTTTATTATTACTATGATGAAGAGGATGAAGTCAAAAAAGAGGGAAAAAACAAAGACAAGGACTCTACCACTTCCGAGCCTCTAGTTCACAATTCTCATGACGGTCCACTTAAATCCGACACAGACAACCACATCGGAAACGAAAGTAAAACAAAATACACAACGGTAGATAGGTCTCGAACAACAACCACTACGGCAGCTCCAGAGACACAAAACGAAGTCCTGCCGCCGTCAACCAGGGGTCGCGGACGTGGTCGTAACATAGCTCCTCCACCAGTCGAGGAAGAAGTTGAAGAAGACAATACTAGGTAAATAGCACATCTAACAACACCCATTTCTTTAATACAATAGTAAAAATACATGCTTACTGGTGGTAGGGCCTCTTGTGAGTCCGCACGGATAAGTACCACCACACCGCCTATTTTCTGCCGCGAAGCAGTAATGCGTTTCAGTTTGAAGGGCGGGGTAGCCGTTGTAACTATACTGAGACCTAAGAACTTATATCTCAAGATGGGTGGCGCATTTACATCGTAGATGTCTATGGGCTCCAGTAACCACTTAACACCAGGTGGGCTGTGAGCTCGTCTACCCATCTAAGCAATAAAAAAAAAAACTTTGGAATTCATATTATAAAAGTTTTGAGCTTAAATTAACGTATATCCTAAGTGGCAGGTTCCCCTCGAGCACACGGTTCCCTCCTCGTGGTCGCAACTTGGCATCAGCTACTAGCACTACTACTTATGTACCGGAAGTTTCTTCGGAAACTGTGAGGCAGCGCGGTCGTCAATCAGACAGTGTAGCTGATGAGTCCATTGGTCAGACCAGAAGCAGGACCCGTGCGCACATCAGGTACATATCCTCCTTTGAAAGAAAACTAAACTGTAGGACATTTGAGGTTTAATTCGTCCTCTCGTTCTTTTCAGGCGCCCAAGTTCAGAGTTGGTCGACCTCGACAGCTTCAAAACGAACTCTGGTGACATCCCACTTCAATACAAAGAGCCCCCGACGAGGTATTCTTCCGAGAGCAAAACAACTACCGAAGAAATTCCCGCAGCCGAGACCAGTGACGAAGAATCTGCTAATCACAAGGAGCCCACCAGAGAAGGTCACAGCTTGTTAAGTGGAATAAAATTCGAGGAGATTGTAGATGATTCGAAGCTGCCCGCAGACTACAAGCTGACTACGACGTTCGAGCAGGAAACAACTGAGTACACCACCATGACGGCGATGGAAAAGGTCGCTCTCGATCTATACGCGTACTTGGCGGGCGAGAACTTAAACAACGAGGTCAACCCGACCAGCGGTGACCTGATCAACTTCGACGGCACCACAACTGTTGACGATGAAGCTGCGACCACCGAGGAGCTGAGTACCACTGAAGAGGCTACAACATCGACAACTACTACCACCACGACCACCACAACCACTACCACCACCACTCCGGCTCCGACTACAACCACCACGACCACTACGGCTGCTCCGTCTACTCGGCCCTCAAGGTTCAAGGGACGCGCCGGAGCTAGGTCTCGTGTTTCCACCGTTTCTACCGCCGCTACCGAAGCTCCAGCTGAAACCTCCACAAGAACTAGAGGTAATTCGATCACTCAACTTCGAAAGAAATAAATAAATCACCTTATATTTGAAAATATATGTACAATATTAATATACAATGAGAGAAGTGTATGTGCGCAATGAGTTCCATGAAATATCCCATTTTGTGTTGAATTATGAATTTACTCATGCCGTATCCTAACTGGTTCATTGGCGGCGAGTAAGTCACCGTGAACTACATACAATCCTGTTTGAGATTCTCCGACTCCACTAGCGAAATTCCATAGTGAAATAACTGTTCTTTATCTATTCTTCAGAATAGTATATTCTATACTTTAAATAAATTTTCTTGTTTAATACTTTTAAAAGCAGAAATAAATTTGCAAGCACATTAGCGGTTATTTATATGCACATTTGCCAGTTGAGTCGGAAGTATTTAAAATGAAATATTTTAGATAATTATAATGCTAAAGCGAACGCGTTACGCAATGCGAGTTTCATTTTTAAGCGAAATTTTATATTGTTCAGCTCAGCGTCTAACATTGGATTCATCCACAAGCGACATCATTCTAAATAACTAATAATTTTAAAAGAATCTTTACATTTATTTTAACAATCAAGAACTCTATTAATATTTAAAATTCGAATGATTCGCTGGTTGAGTTGTTATTCAATGAGTATTTATTGAATCTGCGTAATAAGCGGATTATGAATTAATGTGGATCGAAGGTGAACATTAGTTGATATTTTCGTTCAATTCTAGTATAAGGTCTATATAAAACCGGTTGTCACTGAATGCTAGGCCGCATGGTTATGCTAAAACACTAACGATTTAGGGTCACGATACATGAACTGAATTGATATCGCAATTGTCTTGTATTTGTGTTTAATCAAATAAATAAGACTGTAACAAATACGTGCTTATCACAGTGATAGTTTTTGTCTATGAACGTTAATTGATGTAAGTCGTAGGTAATAAATAATTTCAAAGCAAGTACTTAGCCTATTTTAAAAAAAACGTAAATAATATATAATCGATATTATAGTGTTTTTAAGTTGGAGTACATAATACATATAGGAAAGAGTTTGTTTATTTATTTAGTTGAACCAACAAAGTGATCATCAATAAAAACATTGAGAAATTGACAATAAGTAAATTACACATGTCACCTCAATTGTATTATAGTTAGAGTGAGATCTATAATGACTTTACAAACGATTACTCACCAATGTTTTTACTTAATACAAAAATCTCCATTTCAGTACTGAAAACCAAATTTAAAAAAAAACGTGAATCTCACTATAGTGTTTTTTTCAACCCCTAGTTATGCAGAACTAGCAAATAATGGCTTCCAAATATTAATATTAATCATTTAATCTTACTCTGCCTATACACAAGTACCAATATTTTTAAGGCAGTGAAGATTTTTCCTAATCCATGAATCTAGTAGGTGCTGCAATCCTATTGAAACATCTAAATCTCTAAAAAAAAAAACTAGTGCACATTTTTTGGTGCAAAAATTTACAGTTTTATCCAACGTTCGTTGTTTACAAACGGTATCTACAATGGAAAAACAAAAAAAATAGTCAACAACTTTTCCGTTTTTAGTACAGTTGTTTTTATTCTTTATTTGCAGTTACAGCCGTATTTTTAGAGGTACGAAAAAAATATAACGGCAATCTAATGGAAGATCTACTCAACCAGTTAAATTGGTTGTTTCTTTTTAAATTAGAAATGTCTTGATTGGCCTTTTGTACGTCATTGATCGTGATCAAAAGTATTTAAGTTTTCTTATCTTCAATTCTAAATCATTTAAGTATCTATTTCAATAATGTTTTGATGATTATAATTTTTCAATCTGACTCAAAGATTTAAAAGTATGAATCATCAACTACTCTCCAGAAATTCTGCCATAGCAGTCCTGTTGGAAAGCGATTTAGTATAAATATGATAAAATAATTGTGTTTTCACATTTATTAAGTGTCATTTTTGTTGCATTTATAAATAAACTTTTTTTTCATTAATCGTTGTTCAAATCAGTTCAAGTATCGTTCATTACACATCATAAATAATTGAGTCATAAATAAACACACAGTCATTCTACGTCCCTATATCCTAAGCCTAAGTTCACTCAGAGCTTATGAATTTATTTTTTACTAGCGACCCGCCCTCGCTTCGCTTCTGAAACTGTAATTTATTATTGATTTCTCCACTATTTGATGGATGTTATTATACATATAAACCTTCTTCTTCAATCACTCTATCTATTAAAAAAAGCCGCATCCGTTGCGTAGTTTTAATGATTCAAGCATACATAGGGATATAGGGACAGAGAAAGCGACTTTGTTTTATACTATGTAGTGATGATAGTGATGTACAGCACCACTTTCTTTTGTTCAGGTCGATTCAGTAAGCCTGGCGTGGGTCGTCGGACTTCTGCTGCCGTTCCCGAAGGTACAACAGTTGCACCCGCCGCCGCCGCTGACAAGCCCACTACGAAGGTTTGTATTTTCAATTTAATTTCTATATATTATTTTCGGAGATCATATTAAACAAAACATAAGTCGTCATAATTATATTTTAGCAAACAATTATTCCGAGATTTATATTTCCAAAACGCTTTAAAGTGATCTCTGAAAATTCTTTTTTATAGTAATATGGTTAGATTTAGTAATATATACAAAGCGATTGTGTTGCCAAAGCGAAAATATGTATTTGATTTAAATTTTTTTTTTGTTAATTTAGCAATCTGAACAGTAAAACTGGAAAGTGTACTTTAATTTATATTATCATTGTGTAATGTATTATCCATAATTAAATATTAATGTTGTATAATAAAGTAGGTAGAATAGCGGATATTACAATAATAACATAATAACTATTTCAGGTATTTCAGGTAGTGTTAAAAGTTACTAGCTGGCTAACTAGGTTGCCTTGAACTTCTGCAAATTAAAACATATCAGAGTTGATTAAAATGAAATGCAAAATTAAATCTGTATCCTTCAAGTTAATGCCTCTAAATTTAGAGAGAAGTTAGTTGACACGTATTGAGCTTCTGCTTTACCTCATCGATGAATATAGTTTTCTGTTTATGTTCTAGTAGTAATAACATAATTCTTGCTTCCGTTTTCCTATATATGCTCTGTAATTATAACCAGTCTTGCAATTCTACCTACCTATTTCTGCCGTGAAACAATAACGCGTTTCGGTTTGAAGGCTGGGGCAGCCGCTGTAACTATACTTGAGACCTTAGAACTTAGATCTCATGGTGGGTGGCGCATTTACATCGTAGATGTCTATGGGCTCCAGAAATCACTTAACACCAGGTGGGCTGTGAGCTCGTCCATCCATCTAAGCAATAAATAAAAATAAAACTGTTTAAGCATTGAAACGTACGCCCGTGACGCTAATTCGTCTACAAATTTTACTTTTGATCTGTAGAATACGGTGTGTCGGTCTTAACATTGATTAATACTAATAAATATAGAAAGGAGATAACTTAAAAATAGAAAAAGAACACAAATACGATTTTTTTAATTTCCTTTTGTTTGTCTACATGTGTTATCTGTTATCCTTCTGTCTGTCTGTATGCTAGAAGCGCAAACCACCCGAACTTCTGGAAAGATTTTCAATTAGTTTTCACAAGTACACAGGGATTATTTTGGAGCACAGTATAAGGATTTGTTTCATTAAACTAGGATGTTGCAAAATAGTTGTTACAGAATAAAATATTAATTTTACTATGGCGGTGTTTAATATATTGATATGAATACAAAACCATATAATCGATTTTCGACGAATTCGAATGGAAATAGTAGAAATCGTGGGAAAGAATGTAGGCTCCCTTATATCTTATTGCTGGACAGGGACTTAGAGCGACGCGATATAAAGTGTAATCCAGGTGAGCGAAGTTGCGTGCAGAAAGATAGTCTATTAGTCTATTTACATATATGTCTATATATTGATTATATATGTAAATAGTCTAGATATTAGTCCATTAGCTAGTCCATTAATAACTAATAATCGAAATGCGGAACTGTGTGTAAAATTAAATTTTAATTTTAAAATTCTGATTTCCAAAAATTTTCGGCATTTTATAATTCAAAACTAGTTGAAAATTAATTCGGTAAGCCGTCTCGTATAAAAACAAATACGCAATTCCCACTAACAAATAGGTTCCTTGGCTATTTCTTTATCAAAAAATGCAGACAAACACATACATGAAAAGACTAAACATTTAGTTTACAAAAAAAATGAATTGTGTTCTATATAAAGATAAATAAACGCAATAAGAAGGAGTGCAAAATGCTAATATTTTTTTTTAAATAATGCATAAAATATACTTTAAATTAATAAAGAAAACATTATACACACTACCATGTATTTGACATACACACATAATAATATATGTACTCTTTGTTTATTGTCAAACTTTTGCTATTGCTTAAAGTCTGCGGTCAAATCGAGAATAGGTTAATATTGTTTACCTTTAATATTATTTGTCTATAGTGTAGTCTTGACAAAATCTGCGATTATAGAAGTATAATAAATAGTCTTTGACAATAGAACCATATTAATGTTCAAACTTATTATTTCAATTAATTATAATCGAATTTCGACTACTGCGGGACCACTAGTCAGTATTTAAATCGTATTTTCAATTAAATTGACAGTTATAATTATCATTTACAAGTTCATGACCTACAGTAACAGTTCTCACACGATCATTGAGCTGGATAAACATTGTTTAAACGTTATTAAAAATGACATTCAAGTGTTTTGTTATCTGAATGTCGTTTTTTTATTATGTCGACAAAGTCTACATTGGGCTATTTTATTGTCTCTTGTGACATTGCCAAAAATATATTTTATTTTATCGATATACATAAACATATTTCTTTTTCTTTTTTTTATCGTACTATGGCTCTTTACGCTGGTGGTAAAGTTGCGTTTAGGGATATTATTGAACCGTAACGATTCTTTTTGATAAAGAATATAATATAAAGACGGCGTGAAACATTTTTTTTATGTAAGAAATACTTAACTGCAAAAACCCCACGACAATTTCGGCACAAGTAGAACATTTTTTATGAATCTATCCAAGTTTAGTTAATACTGTATGATCCAAACTATGTATAAAAGTTTTAATAAAGCTTTTATCTGTGAAATAGGAACGCATACTCGTATATCTGCAGTATATATCAAAAGCACCATTTGATTATCCTATCAATTGAATAATGATAAATATGTATATATGGTAGGACGTTTTGTGTGTCCGCAAGGGTAGGTACCACCACCCTGCCTATTTCTGCCGCGAAGCAGTAATGAGTTTCGATTTGAACGATGAGGCAGCCGTTGTACTGTTAAAACGGAGACCTTAGAACTCTTGTTTTTTAGTTGAATTGCGGTATTAAGTTGTAAATAACAATTTTACACCAGGCAGACCGTGAGCTCGTCCAGCTAGCAAACCAATAAGAAAACCTCTATATTTATTTGTGATTAGATTTACATAATGCAATTAAAAATATGTTATTCGTATTATTATTATTATTTTTATAGCTTAGATGGGTGGAAGATCTCACAGCCCACCTGGTATTAAGTAGTTACTGGAACCCATAGACATCTACAACGGAAACGCGCCACCCACATTGAGATATAAGTTCAGTATAGTTATAACGTATATATATATAGTTCAGTATAGGTCTCAGTATAATTACAACGGCTGCCCCACCCTTCAAACCGAAATACATTACTGCTTCACGGCAGAAATAGGCAGGGTGGTGGTACCTACCCGCGCGGACTCACAAGAGGTCCTATCACCAGTAAATAATAAATAATTTGGATATTAAGCATTACAAAGGTATACTAACATTCGTTTGCTCTTATAAATGCCCTTCATGTGGTTAAATGAAAACGTGGTAACTTTGTTAGCAGGCATTCGGTCGTCGTGGTTTGTTCGCAAGCCGCACTCGTCCCAGTTTCACTACAGCTGCCCCAGCGTCTGATGATGGAAGCGTAGCATCGGAAGCCAACGCTGACACTCCAGCACCAAGGTAAGCACACACTGTCTGAACTACAATCGTTGTCGAGGCTGGAGGTTTAGTATAAAGTAAATGGAAGACACGCTGTCTGAAGTGCAATAGCTGTCGAGGCTGGAGGTCTTTATAAAGTGGCTGTAAAGAAGTCTATAGACATCACAACATAGACACCTAACTCCCGTATGGACGTATCTGGAATAGCCCCCTAGCCTACCGGTGAATAGGTAGGGAAAAAAATTTATCTCACAAAACCTTCAGACATGAGATCAGAATCTTTATTGTATAATTGTAACGTTTTTAATTTTAGCAACTTTATTTTTCTGTCACAATATTATTCCTTTTTTTTTCTATCTAAGCTGATGGTCTAGAGAGACCATATCAGCGTAACCTTAACTAGTAGGTGAGCTCACGGGGCTCAAACCTGACGATATTGCTAACACGAACCCGAGCAAGAGCCGTGCTTCGCAGAATCTACCACCTGATCGGAAACGAGACCCACTGAGAAGATCCTGATATTCCTTTCGCTTATTTGGTTCCATAGTTCTTCGCAATAGATAATGTTCAAAATACCAAATGCCTGCCCCTATTTGTCTTTCTTGACAACGCAGAAGCAACGACACCGTATTATATAGTATAAGTATATACTAGTATATAAATCTACAGTGGTTTTTACAGATTTTCCGTTATAACTACTGAACCATACATCCGATTGACTTGAAACTTGGTATCCGTGTAGAAAATACATGTACTTAATAGATAGGCTAATATTTATATGAGTGTTGGACTCCCTAATAATAATGACAATAAATAATAATGTTAAATTTAAATCCCCAGCAAAGCGGGCGAGTACGGCTATATAGTATTATTATAGTATTGTTTCACAGCTCCTCTCTTCAAACATCTATTAATCATCGTCCGGTCGACTTATGCAGATCTCTGGTTACATCCAAAACCGAATTAGGCTAATCGTGTAAAGTGAGATGATCGCAAAACACTACGAATCATCCTCACATTATTTCAAGAGTAGGCAACCTCAATAACCCATTTATGTTTATCACAAAACTCTACGAATTATCCTCACATTCTTTCAAGAGTAGGCAACCTCAATAACCCATTTATGTTTATCACAAAACTCTACGAATTATCCTCACATTCTTTCAAGAGTAGGCAACCTCAATACCCATTTATGTTTATCACAAAACTCTACGAATTATCCTCACATTCTTTCAAGAGTAGGCAACCTCAATAAACCATTTATGTTTATCACCCATCAAGTAATAATAGACAACGTTTATGTGAGCTCCGTGCTATCACAGCAGGCCTCGTCTACGTCCCGGTCTCAGAAGGACCTCAACCACTACAACGACAGCCGCCAGTGCAGCATCGTCTGAAGACAACACCGGCGCTACCTCTGGAGAAGTCGTGGAAACTACTCCCACCCCAGGAAGGACCCTAGGGTAAGCTTCAATTGAAAATACAAAACCTATTAATTTCAAATTGAGCGTTTGAAAGAAGGATGCCTATTTTTTTATATTTTTTTTATTGCTTAGATACGTGGGCGAGCTCACAGCCCACCTGGTGTTAAGTGGTTACTGGTGGTAGGACCTCTTGTGAGTCCGCGCGGGTAGGTACCACCACCCTACCTATTTCTGCCGTGAAGTAGTAATGCGTTTCGGTTTGAAGGGTGGGGCAGCCGTTGTAACTATACTTGAGACCTTAGAACTTATATCTCAAGGTGGGTGGCGCATTTATGTTGTAGATGTCTATGGACTCCAGTAACCACTTAACACCAGGTGGGCTGTGAGCTCGTTCACCCGTCTATGCAATAAAAAATAAAAAAGGAGAATTAAAACACGGCATGGTATTTTCAATCGCTTATTAAAATAGTTTACGACAATCGAAATAAAGCTTGACTAAGTTTTGCTTTTCGCTCAACTTACAGTCGTGGACGTCCTGGCCTTCGACCGGCTTCTCTCCGTCCAGGCCCAAGGCTTAACCTGAGGCCTAACCCTAGACTCCGCCCCGGAGTTGCCACTCCCGCGCCTGCTGAAACCGCTTCCGAAGTGCCTGCAGAGACAGCTGCTCCTGAATCACCTGTAACTGAAGCGGATTCCGAAGTATGAATTTTATGCTTACCCTATTTTACTACTTACCTCTTCCCTACGTGTTCCTTGAGTAAATATGGCGGTAGACTGTATGTAATTTTTACCGTTTAGCACGAGTCTAGTTGGTGATGTTTTTGTCAAATTCCGATTTGTAAAATTTAATATTTGTTCCGTGTAAGAACGTTTTGAGATTTTGCGATTCCATTGTTACAACTTTAAATTACTACATCTCTATATACACAAAACAGCAGCTACATAACTCTGTTTGTCAACCTCTTTATTAAGAATTGACAATGTGTGTTATCTATAAAAATATTTGGAAATAGTTTTTTTTGTTCAAATATAATCAAAAATACAACCGAAAAATATATTACATACCATAAAGAAACCTAAATAATATCGGGTATTACTGATTAACTGAATTGACTGATCGAATTTAGTTTATTAGGTGAATTATTAAATCAGGCATTCGTTCAAATATCACGATGCAGTGTGTACTCACATAATTTTAGATCAAAATTACTGTACGTAGTATGTGGCTTCATTAGGTTCAGTTGTTCTGAAACCCTAATTTCGTTTTAGAGTAAGTATTCCAGGTACATTTTTAACAATTGAGGTTTTTTGTCTTCAAATATTGCTGTATCTGTTTTATCGAATATTTCTGGATAAAAGCAGCTCATATTCTTGCAAAATAGTAACTGCGTTCATGATAAACTTGAGACCTTTTGTATCAAGGTGACATTGTTGTTATCACGAATTGTTTTATTATCACTCAGGTATAGTATAAAATCATTATTCAATTTAGTTTAATACAAATATTTCAATTGGTTACATTCGGAAAAAATAATATTTCAAATTAGCAGCGACCTTATGTTTGAATAACTAAATTTATGAAGGACTAGCGACCCGCCCTTGCTTCGCTTCGAAAACGTTAACTTTATTATTGATAGCTGAGTCCCGCGATGTTATCCCGCGATACGACAATCAGCTACCTATCAGTGAAAGTCTGGTCAAAATCGGTCCAGCCGTTCCAGAGATTAGAGTTTGTTCCGGCACAAACAGACAGACAGACAGACAAAAATTGTAAAAAAATATATTTTGGTGTACGTTTTACATTTATATGCATGTAGTAAAAAACGGTTATTTCAATATTACATACAGACACTCCAATTTTATTTATATGTATAGATTCTATAGGAATATCGTGCATTTTGAAATATATCCACATCCAACATGGGTGGCACGTGTAAACTTTTTTTTCTCACATAGAGCTCATCTCCGACAACTGCTCCGGAAGCACCTCGAGGTGGAGTTAGACTGCGCAATCGTCTTCAGGTGTCCCCGTCGCCTAAGCCCAGGGTTGTGGTGACACCTCCAGCGCGTAGGCCGAACCCACTACTTAAGAGGAAGCTTGCTTCTCCCTCAACAGAGGTAAGTTATTATGACGATATGAAATAGAAATGTGTATTGATCGCTAGTTACCGTAAAGTTTCTTTATTAAAATTAGGGTTACACTCATATTATATAGTAACTAGAGGTCACATCCTCTGCATAGTATTTTTTTTGTTGATAAATTGTGTTTTTTAGAAATTATATTTAAATACGAATTACATATTGATATTATATTATAATATTTGTTATTATCTTTTAATAAAAAAAAAGTTTATGTTTAAGTTGTTTATCGATAAAGTTGATTATTGAAAACACAAATAAAATAACATTTTCTGAAAATAAATCGTACCTAGATCGATTTATCGCCCCCGAAATCCCCTGTATAATACAAAATTTTATGAAAATCGTTGGAGCTGTTTTCGCTGTATTCAGATTATATGTATATTTATATACAAGAATTGCTCGTTTAATGTTAATACAATATTTTTGGGCATTAAGTTAAGTTGACTTTAAGCGAGAGAGAGATCCGAGATAATCGCATTGATTTTTAAATGTTAATTTTCATTTAAAAAATGTTACAATGCTGTTTTGCACTGAGTCAGATGGACATACAATATGCACTTGACTATTTGCGGTCGAAAATTAATATGTGGAAGCTCATTTAAACATTTTTTAATTATCAAAATTAGTATATCCCTCCCTCATCATACTAGGGTTCCTATTTCAAAAAAATTAAAAGAGTCGATTCTCTGACGCGTTTCTGCCTAATTATAAGACGAATTAACAAACATATTGTATTGGATTTCGGCTCAATTAATATTTGTATTCAGGCTACAACCGAAGCACCTAAAAAATCAACGGAAACTACCGAGGAAAGCACCAGCGCTGAGAAAAGTGAGACGGAAACGGAACCTCAGCCCGCAGAAACTACACCGGCTCCTCCACTCCGTGGTCTGGACGCTCTCATCGCGAGGAGACGAGCCGCCGGCGGTATAGGAGGTCGACCAGCCCGGCCCGCGCGAGGAGCTTTCTACCACCCCAAATAAACCACTAAACAACCTACAGTGATTCTAGGTGATAGCAATGACGTGATGCTGATCTATTTCTAACTAGCTGACCCGGCCGACTTCGTAGTACCTCAATCGATAAATAAAAGACTTTTGTATAAAATAAACTTAAAACAAACAAAAGGTATCCGTCCGACGGGGGGACACATCAAAGGAAAAACAAATTTGTTATTTTTATTTAATTCCGAGCATTTTCATATTTATCTACCTTTTAAACCTTCTCTGGACTTCCACAAAAAAATTCAAGACCAAAATTAGCCAAATCGATCCAGCCGTTCTCGAGTTTTAGCGAGACTAACGAACAACAATTCATTTTTATATATGTATATAGATATCTCCCGACGCAAATGTTCATGTAAACTATTCATAAATGCTTGCCCGTGCTTGAAAAAGTGTTTCTCGATATGCAAAAAAAAAAGACATTTTCCTAACACGAAAGTATGTCTCGTTCTGTCGCTGAAAAAAATGTATTCGAGTTAATGTCTCACATTAACAGGAAAGCAGGTGGTTCAATAAAATTCAGCATCAAAGTCGTCATTGTTGATAGTCAATTTACACCCCAAGCTGTTTAGTTTTAGCTCGTAACGTCTCTTCATATTATCACAGTTGTAATTATGAGATACGCGTAATTAGGTTAAGTTTTATTTTTCTCAAGTATAAGTACCGTGCCGAATGGTACTCCCAACTACTTAGTCCATTCCTGTTTGAATATGTTATGTAAATATTAGTGTTAGTCGTTTATACGAATTAAGAATGAAAACTTTGAATTGAATACTCATAAAATAAATTGGAAACATTAAAATTAACTACTTCATTACTAAATGGATGTAATCGAGTTTTTTTTTTTTCGAAATTATTTTACTGTTTACTAGTATAATTTTAATAAAATAATTGCCTCTTGCATTATATAGTTTCACAATGATTTTTATAAACGTATATTTTATGAATCACTTACCAAAACCAATTTGTAGGTTTATTCTTATAGGCTTTGTAGATACACTCGATGTTTGTAATTTCGCACGTGCAAAATTTACTCATTAATATCTTATGTATTTATTTATTAATTTAACAATTTACAAGCTCGTTTGTATGATAATGGTAATCAATCACGTTTGATTTTGAAAAACTACAGAGCCGAGGCCAATTTATCACGTTTGTTGACCTTAAAACTCACCAACAACAGAACTAATGCAACTTTCAAAATTTTTCTTTTATGTTCACGGAGCTTTTTATGTTGTGGTAAATAAAAAAATCTCCTGTTCTTATATCCATAAAACACTATGACATTGTATTTTTCAGTTAACTGTCGAAGTTTTTAAATTATTTATAAAAATTTAAAGTAACTATTGATAAAATAAATAATGCAATAATGAGTTATCACATCACTTTATTCTTTTATCACGCAGTAATGCTACAAAACAACAGATATATTTTTCAATAGGATAGTTAATTGGCCGAAGATTGACACAGGCTAGAATTACGATTTACCTATTTTATAAATGAGCATTATTAGTTTAAGTTTTTAGACCATCAAAATCATTAAAACGCATAAATCAGAAGAAGCACTGAATGTAAGTGCCATCGTGATATGTTTTTGTATCTGTCGTAAGTGTGATACCTAATAAAATATTAATAAGTTTAAATCGAAATTGGTGTTTCATTTTTTTTTTCTTTGCCATTAACTTATGATTTACACATACTCAAATCGAAGATCTCATTTCATCAAATGAGATAGACTTCTAATTATATATGTATAGCCTAAGTACAATTACCACCTCTGCGAAGTTAAATCTCATTTCAGTCGAATATTTTTTTATGAAAGTATTATCTTTAATTTGTACTTATGGTTTTTATTATTATTTGAAATACATAACGACGCTTGAAAGGCAAACGTGACTTAGCGACAATAACTGCTTTGTACATAAATGATAGGCAATAACCGTATTCGATGCGCAAAAAAATATATTTCTAGGTCTATTAAAATAATTTCAATCTTACAGCTAGATTCGTTATAATAGAATTTTTTTTCAGGTATTTCAACTTTAAATTAGTCTACTGTAAAGTTCACGCATTGTCGCTTAGTCATGTTTGCCTTGCAAGCGACGATAAGATGCGAGTTTATATTAAAGTAATATTTAAAGAAAATGTACTATTACAAAAATAAATTTGGCGTAAAAAACATTTGACTGTTAGATATCTATCTACTTGCTCTTTCTCTCTTTGTTTTTGCAATCTATATATAAAAGTCGATACGTGTTTGTTTGTAATTCCGAAACGGCTGGACTAATTTCAACTAAATGTAATGTAACTATACTGAGCCCTTAGAACTTATATCTCAAGGTGGGTGGCGCATTTGCGTTGTGGATGTCTATGGGCACCAGTAACAAGTTAACACCAGGTGGGCTGTGAGCTCGTCCACCCTTATAAGCTATAAAAAAAAAACGTAATCAGGAAATTTTCAGATCAGTCTAGCCGGTAACCCCGTAGCTGTATCGATATAAAGATGGTAACGAACGAATCAAAGTTAAACCAAAGATCGGAAGGACGGGTTTGAATATTGAAAAAAAAAAAATTTATTTTATTTTATTGCGTTTGCTTACATGAATCACGAGGACTGAGTGGAGACAGCACTGAAGTCTCATTTTGTAGTTTAAGGACGGTTCGTGGTGGTTGAGATTGATTTGGTATATATATTTCAATCGACAGGTACACCGTGCGTCATTTTTCCTAAAGTCATTCTTGTTCACCTGATGGTCGCCTGAAAGAGATCGCTCTTAGCGAAAAGATCGCCGATTGTATTATTTTATATTAAATGTCTTTTCTTTTTCTCTTTCTCTCTCTCTCTCTTGCTCTCTCTATATTCATAAATAAAGCTTAAACGAAAACGTTCGTTGCAGCGAAAGAAACAGTTGACATCGAGTTGTGGTTACTGTTAAATACCCACATCGCGAAATCCGTGGCGTGACCACAACGCATTGTGACAGAAGGAAGACAAGCCACAACACGCTCTTACAATGGATAGCTCGTTTTATTATTAACAGTAACATTAATCCATCAGGTTTCTATCAGTTAGGAAATGAGAAACATCGCAGTCACATTTTTTAAAGTACTTATGGAAAGTGAAAGTCGCTGTTGTTCGAAAAAAATATATATATATAAAGTAATTCAAAATGCCACAAATTTTTGTACATGACATACTAATTATTTCATTGAAGAGATTTTGCATTATTTTTATAGCTACTGCACTAAAACAACAACCTTGAGACATCATTCATATGTCTCAAGGAAGATGGCGGCGTACGTTAACCACTTAATACTAGACAGGCTGTGAACTCGTCCACCCATTTAAGCAATAAAGAAAGAAAAGTCTCAATATCTATGGGCTCATTAAACGAATTGTCAGTCCATTTAAGTATGTCAACAAAAACACAACATATTTGTTTTTTTAATTGTTGATTAGAAAAGGATGTATTATTATGCTACGGTTGCTCAAATGAGTCGACTATTATCAAAGCCGGCAATGTGACTTTTGGACAATTATTGGTAAATCAGAAAAACGAATTATGGACTTTGTATTAAACTCTTCTGAACGACATCTTAGATAAATAACAGGTTAAGTATTAACCTTTATTTAATGCAGGTTTTGAACCGTATTCTTTGAAGGAGACGATTATATTCAAATCAATCTGTATTGACATATCAATAACATTTTTTTGTCCAAATGCACAGATTGCCACTTTTGATAAAAGACGACTCAAATAAGCCTTTTCTTGTCATTTTTGTTTAACAAAACAATTGACGGTGATGCAACTCAAAGTTTACTTAAACATTTATACAAGAATATGTATTAGTATTATCCTTCACCGCAATAGCTGTTATAAATTCATGAGATTTTAATGTAAAATGGTTAGGAAAAACAACGAACTACTTCTTGGAATCGAATTGGTTATAAAGCTTGTATAATAACACAACAATACCTACAACTAGTTTTGTAGTCCCTTTTTAGGTTCAGAATTGACAATAGATTTTTTTGAGATACACTGAAAAAACTCACCGATGTTAATTCAAAAATTAATAGGTACTTTTAGGTGTAGTTTTTTTAATATTCATTAGTCGAGCTTGGTGATGCTACGCTGTGACTATTAAATTATTGATTATACAAAAACATCGATTTCTTGCAACTACTTGCGCGCCCTCTATCTTATCGCATTACAACAGAAAATTTTCCTGCTGCCAACAATATTAGTGGGGTTCGCCCTGAGGCCCGTTCCGTGCCCCCAAAAAGTGGTACGACGACCCTATTATTAGCCAACACATTAACAATCATTTAGGAATGCATAGACGACAACAAACATTCATTTTTGTTTATATTTCGACGGATGAGATAGATACTGTAAATAGAAAGAACAACAAGCATCATTTATTTAGAAGATATGATTTCCTTTTTATTTATTTTTTTCTACCAAAGCTGATGGTCTAAACTCTACAGAGACCATATTAGTGTAACCTTAACTAGTAGGTGAGCTCACAGGGCTCAAATCTGACGATGTTGCTAACATGAACCCTAGCAAGAGCCGTGCTTCGCAGAATCTATCACCGGATCGGAAAGCGACTCACTGAGAAGATCCGGCGAGCATCTCAGTGGGCCGTGTCTATGGGTTAATTTACTCGCCGAGCCCTTGAGGTACCTAAAGGCACCGTTAATGGATCGAGAGGATCCGCAATGACGTGTTTAGGGCGACATTGACTGTTTACCATTCGGTCCACAGGATCGGGTATGTGATTTCCTTAATTATTCGCAGAAATCTTATTCAATTTTACGGCCCTTTGTCACTATAATAAGTATTGGTAGGAGGGCAATTTTTTTCATTGCTTAGATGGATGGACGAGCTCGCCGCTCACCTGGTGTTAAGTGGTTACTGGAGCCAATAGACATCTACAACGTAAATGCGCCACCCACCTTGAAATATAAGTTCTAAGGTCTCAAGTATAGTTACAACGGTTGTCCCACCCTTCAAACCGAAACGCATTACCGCTTCACGGCAGAAATAGGCAGGGTCGTGGTACCTACCCGTGCGGACTCACAAGAGGTCCTACCACCAGTAGATTGTTAAGTAAGGTTGTTAAGGTAGG